TACGCTGAAGTTCAATTCTGCAGTTCCTTTCAATAAAAATTCTTTCGAAATAAAAAATCGCCCCTCTTCAAATTACCTCGACATTTTCTTTAATACGAGTTTGTAGTCACTCTGGAAGGCAAGACTAGAGGTTGATCTGACTACAACAATCTCGAATCTCAAATGTCACACATAATAGTTTGTTCATGGAGTGGCAAATTCAAATCAGAGTTTCTGCTATAGGTCTAAAATCAAGAGAATAACTATACTTACTGTGACAGTCTCCTCTTTCGTTTTGCCTTTAGACCTTCCATCTCCTTCTTCAACTGCTTATTTTCGTCGCGAATACTCGAGACTTCTGCCAGTAGTTTTCGCACGATATCTGGGACGATATCTGTACTTCTCGTTGAAGATCTGGGGGTTTCGGAATCTAATACTCTGATCTCTTAATTTTCTCTCTTTAATGTATCCACGATAGACAGCTAATAATAAAAATAATAACAATAATAATAATAATAATAATAATAATAATACCTTTATTTAGACACGATAAAGTTTAAAGCTGAACAGCTTGTGGGGTCGTGTGCAAATCTAAATAAACTCTAAATGAAATAAATTCAATTGATGATGGTTTTTGAGGAAAGGGGAAAACCGGAGTACCCGAAGAAAAACCTCTCAGAGCAGAGTAGAGAACCAACAAACTCAATCCACTTATGACGCCGGGTCCGGGAATCGAACCCGGGACACATTGGTGGAAGGTGAGCGCTCTCACCACTACGCCAACCTTGCTCCGTTGCAGTCGTAGAACAATCCGAGCAAAATTACGGACTGTGATGTGGATCGCGTGTCGACAACTTTCCTTGTCCACAAATTTCCCGCTCTCTGGCAAAAGATGTTGACTCATTTGTTGCCCGCATTGGTAGCGGTCGGTTAACTGCTTGCGCGTGGTGACATGACATTTAACATTTTAGTTGATGAGCTTCGATTTTTTTGTCTGCCAACTTCACGAAGAGAAAGGAATCATTTAGAATGAAAAGGAAAAGTTTGCTTACAGATCGCAAGAAGAAGCGTGAAAGACGTAGGCAGCGAGCGGTGTGGTCAATGCCAGCAATTATTATCCACTACGCAGCATCATCATCACCGTAGACTTTATTATGACTCAAGCCTCGAACAGTGGAAAACAGCAGAAGATACCCAAAGATCGTGTGTCCCTGGATCAAGTTCTAGTGAAAGCGAATACGAAGGTACGTTAACATATAAGGTTTGCATCGCTCGCATACCGAGAGAACGACAAATTATGCACTTTGTTGTAATGTAAGACTCATAAGCTTCCTCATATACATGAAAAATAATGATTTCGATTTTAGGCTCAAACATTTTCATCTTTTACACAAAAATATATGGGAAATTTAGAATGCAGACACAGTTTTTCGCGCCTCTTATAGCAAATTTCTTGAAAGTGTCATACAGCTGTAATTTTCAAATTTTCTTTGAGGTAGAACAAGTAACAGGCAATTCAGAAGTTTACAGCGTTGCTGCAGTAAATTATAGATTTGTCAAAGTAGAAATTAAGTATAAGCTTGTGGACAATAGGGTTTCAGAAATCTGCTATATCATCTTGAGGCATCAATATTTATATTTCTAACTAGACTGAAGATGTCCCTGAGCGTACATAGTAACCCTTATTTCTGATAAACACGTATCAATTTGTTTTTATCATAAAAAAAAATAATTACAAAATTGATGTGAATGTCCTGGCATCAAATGGTTTCATAAAATTAAATTATTGAATTCCAGCTTGCCCTTCAGGGCAATTAGTAGTTTTCAATTTTTTCCTTGCCAGAGCACTCTCTCCTTGTTCCAAAGTTTTCAAACTATTACTGTTTGAAAGCCATGTTGACTGTATGTAATTTGTTTAAGGTAACTTGCCCAAAAGGTTGGTGTAGCTTGCTGAATATATTATTACTAATGACCAAAATAAAATGTGCCTAAAATTTAAAGCTGTGATTCAAAATTATTATTTTAAAAGTATACTGGACGTAAGTGACAGCTTGTTCATCTGGCAAGTTAGTAAAGAAAATTTTAACTGCTGGCCTGACCGAAAAAATCTACTTGCTTTGTCAAGTCCTGTATTTTTCAGCATCCTCTCGAAAGTGCAGATTGTCTTCACCAGTATTCGACACTAATTTTCCTGCTTACTTGCCCTCTAGGCAACCATGTCTCCAGTTTTACTAGCTGAGTATATTATTTAGTTGCCCAAAAAAATCACCAGCTTACTTTGCTTGATGTTTCATTGAATTTTCAATACTTGTACTTGTTTTTCATTCTCGTTCTATGTTCAACCAACTAAAATTTCAAAAAAAGGGTTCAGGTGATTTTACTGCAGCTGTTGGATTTTATTCTTGTCCCAGCAGCTCGAGTGTTATCCTTAACCACTTGCCCAAACGGGTAACCTGTGCAGCTTACACATTTGCCCAAGGTATAATTTAATTTGCCCCAGGCAAGTGGGCAAGGGTTAGTGTTGAACAATGCTTCACCTTCTTCATTTAGTT